GATGGCACCAGCCCCTGAGCCACGTGTTGATCAGGAGTGTTTTCCTGTTCCTTCCAGTGTCCTTCCCTGCCACTGTAGGGATTGAGGAAAACACTACCTGTGCTCCCGATCCTTCAACCAGTCGCCCCAGTGCCCTGAAGTCCCTTTTGATCGCCTCAGGACTTCTCTCTGCCACCTCATCGCTGCCAGCCTGTATAACCAACAGCGGGTAGTAGTCCGAAGGCCGCACCAGATCAGGGAGCTTCCTAGCAATGTCTCTGACCCGGGCCCCAGGGAGGCAGCAGACTTCCCTGTGGGACGGGTCCGGTCGGCATATAGGGCCCTCTGTTCCCCTCAGAAGGGAATCGCCTATGACAATCACCCTCCTTTTTTTCTTGGCAGAGGCAGTCATAATGCGTGGGGCTGACTGCCTCACCCTGGGCAACCTCCTGGATGGACCTTCATCTACATCCTCGTTTGCCTGGCCCTCAACTTCCAGGGCCCCATACCTGTTCTGTAAGGGCAACCGGGAAGGTGAGGGAGGCCGGGCGGGGGTTCGCCTGGCACCCCGAGCAGGGACCTGTTTCCATTCCCCCCCGTCGCTTTCCTCTACTTTGATACACTTTTATTAGAGTATAGTTTGGAGGGTTGGCTCCCTTGCCCTTAGATCTGCAGTCTTAAGCCTTGAGAGGATGATTTGTGACGGATAATTGACTGGAAACATAAGGAATTTGAATCTTGTGGCTGTTCAGAATTTTCGACCTGTTTCCATTCCCCCCCGTCGCTTTCCTCTACTTTGATACACTTTTATTAGAGTATAGTTTGGAGGGTTGGCTCCCTTGCCCTTAGATCTGCAGTCTTAAGCCTTGAGAGGATGATTTGTGACGGATAATTGACTGGAAACATAAGGAATTTGAATCTTGTGGCTGTTCAGAATTTTCTCATGTGAGGCTGTTTAAAAGTGTACTTCTGTACTGAAGAGTAACTGTGAAAAACAATTGGTAAATATCCAGCCTTCATTAGTGGGAAGTACAAAAAATGATCATCAAAATAATGCATTTGGGAGAGTAAGCCTAGCTTCAGTAATTGCAGTACTAGAGCCTTCTTGGAAGCCTTCTTGTCTGGTTTTGTTAAGTGAGTAAACAACTTCTAGTGTGGGTATATTGCATGCAGATCCTCTACTTTAACATCAGCTTTTCTGGTCACTTTGTCTTTCAGTTTGAGGTAGACCAGCCTTCTTGTACACATCTTATGTTCTAAGTCTTGTGCCCTGTACCCACAGGGCTAAATCAGCCATTCTTATTTCTTCCTTACTAAATAAGTAACAGTAAGAAATTAATCAGCTCACTAGCTATAAATTAAAAGAATGCAAAATAATCAGTTTTGATAATTGCTGTTAGACTTTAAACTTCGGGCTTAACAGTGCGTCACTGCATGTCTGTTTATATACAGGAGATTGAAAGACTGAAGAGTGAAAAGCCAACATGGGAGCGAAGACTACGTTGGGAAGGAATGAAATCTGTTTTTGGGGGTCAGCCTTCACTCCTATGGATCAATCCTTTTGCAGGATTTCGAATCAGGCGACTTCTACTGAGAGCAAAGAAAGGAGGACCTGAGTTTTCTGTTTGAGTCTAATTATGCTGGAACTTGCAAGAATACTATATATTTATTTGGGGCCAGAGAAGGCTGTCTACATATAATCTGTGACCAGGTGAAACTGATACCAGACATTTGCTTGTAGCAAGCAGTTTTATACGTTTATCGTCACAGACATCTCATTAACTTTCAGAGACACGAACTGGATCAGTAATGGTCTTAACAGCAAGATAACAAAGGAAAAGCACGTGGTCACACTAAAGAAGCCAAATGTTGTCATGCTACTGTAATTTATTTTATGAGATTATCCATTTTTGTTAAACCCTTTTTATTTGATAAATGTTTGGGGAATTACCTGTGTGTTTTTATAAAAAGCATATACTTAGGTGCCGTTGTCAATCATAAGGAGGAGCATTATGGTGAAAGTTGATCTCAAGTGAGACCTAGCCTTCTAAATCCAGTTTTCAGGGAATAGTGGTTTGTTCGGTTTTAATTTATATTTCAGCTTGTCCTAATAAACAGAGCTGTACTCTTGTGTCCCACTTCAGGCACACATTCCTCATATGCAAGTGATTCAAAGGACTGGTGCACACAACAGCATAACACATCAGAGGCACTGTTACACCCCTGCCAAACGTCTTCCCAGGCTCACAAAAGCATGTCTTGTGTTTGGCAGTATTAATCTCATGTGGCATTTAGGTAAGTTCTAAATCTTCAGTAAACAACACTTAACTGACGGCTGTGGGCCGGTTTCTGCCCTCAGATATGGCAACTCCAATTCTTAAAGCATTGATTCTAGAGGAACTTAAGTGTAGGTGTTGGAGGATTGTATCTAGTCCTCTGTGCAGGGGTAAGTGGGAGCAGTGACTGTATCCTCCTGTGTGAGATTAAAATGAATGTACTGCAGATTGGAGTTAACTGACTGAAAACAGTTGTCTTTGTAAGGTCTTGCTCTGCCCCTTTTTTATTGTACAGATCTTCAATGTAGAAAGATCTGCAATAGAAGGAATTATTTTGAATTTAACCATTTTCCAACCAAAACTACTTTTAAGAAATGAGAGCAATATAGATCTAGAACTGCTTTATGGGGGCCTGAAAAACAACAGTAGTGCTAAGAAATGTTTATAAATCTGCAAGTGATGAAATACAAACTGCAAGTAATGAAATTCAGCTAAAAGTGGATTCTTTAAAAATAATATTTAGACTATTTTTTGTATTGTTAATCTGTTCTATAAATTACCGACAATATAAAGGATAAAGCAGGAGCCTTGATGCATAGCTTGAAATCGTGCCTAGAAAGTAAATAGCTCCCTGTTCTGGGACTTGCCTTAAAATTGTCCTGTTCTTGCTTTTGCTTTGCCATTAGCACTGATGATCTGTCCCACCTCAAGCAGTTCAACCTGCTGAATAATCTTGCATTATAAAGTTTATGTACTACAGAAGTTAATACTTTCTTTTTTCAGCGACCCGCTTCTCCATTTCTTTGTAACTGTTTGTGGCATCTGGATTCCAGCTTCATCAGGTTTTATACCATTGGGTGGGTGAAATTCCGAAGGGATCCATTTATTCTCTATGGCCCTGCGAACAAAACTGTGCAATACTATGTAATACGTTCACTTTGCTTGGGGGAGGTGATGTGTAACAGCGGACAACTTCTAGGTGGACACATCCAAGGAAATTGCAGTCAAATGAACAAAACTCTGTCTCGTGCAACTGAGGGGAAAGTTGGAAGTTCCACAAGAATCTCTGCGTATTCAGTTGCACATCTTAATGATTGGGAAAAAATGTGTCTGGCTTTGTCATGAGGCTCTTAATGTGTATATTGTTTAATAAAATCCTGATGCAAATCAGAAAATATCACTTCAAGCGGTTGAACCCTGTGACTTAGCAAGTGTGTGCGTGTGTGAAATCAGGTTTACTTGGCTTTTCAAACCCTTGTTACGTTGTAATTTTTTTAATGTAAAAAAAATAAAGTAATGAATTGAAGTCTTAGTTGATTAACTTCTGCTCTGTATGTCACTTTTTTTGCACATCTGCGTGCGTATTTGCACATATTTAGATTACAGCAACTTCAGGGTAATGATCTTGCATCCTTTGGCTTGTAATTTATATGCACGTGTATATCCAGTAACAGATGATAGTGCTCCGAATTAAAGATGCTACTCTGCTTACTAAGGGTTTTAAGCTATGCTAACTGCTGAGCTGTTCTTTGGCGTTTCCTTTTCTGCATCCTCTGGTGTAACTGCTCATCTTCTTAGTACCTGTTTGGCTAAGGCGAGTGTGAAAACATGCGGTGAATACCCTGTTAAGAGTTTTCAAATCGAAGTATCTCAGGCTTTGCACCTGCAAGGAATTTGTGTAAAATACGGGTTTGGACTCCCCAGTTTCTCTGTGCAAATGTTGACTTTTCCCACTAGTTCTCTAGCTTCAGGTACAAAGACAGCCAATTATGCAGCCTAGAAAGCGGCAGTTCAGGTAGTTGTCAACAACTGACCCAACAGGCGCGAGGGCGAGGAGGAAACGAGGTTTACAAAGGCAGTGAAGGATGGAGAGACTGGAAGCAGTTTATTTCCCGTTTGCAACAGTCCTAAAAAATACTTTGGTACCTTTCCTGGGTATATAAACTTTATATTCATATAAACTTCGTGCCACTGCTTCTTGTACTTTTAAGCAGGTTAATGATTTGGTTATATTTGTGTGCCACAACACTTAGGCTGTGCTGCGTTTACATATATTTTTAGGGAAGAGCTTGTTTACTCTCCAAATGGAACAGATGTGTCTGCAGATGGAGCCTGCTAATTTACCTCCTTTTTATTTTCTTGTTTAATTTCTAGTAGTAATGTCAGGCTGTTTCATGAACCCTTTCTGAAGTCTTAGACGGCAGCAGTGACAAGCGCAAATTCATTTATGGACTTCTTTATGCCTGTCCTGTGCGGAAGCGTTGCGTTTCTGTGATCTCGCTTCTTTCTATTGGCGCTGTGTTAACATGTGAATGCATTCAATGCTATTGGAGAAAGAAAGTGGCATAAGAGGTTTTGAAATACAGAAATAGGACTGTAAAATGATTCTTGAATCTGTTTATAATGCTAAAATGAAAGGCACCAGCATTACAGTTCAGTCTGGTTTTTAAGTGTTATTCCTCTGAACAGAGTAGTGGTTCGATTCATGCGGTGTACTTTGTGGTTGAATATGGATTCGTGCCTCTTGATTGACGAGATTGTTAAATTTCTTTGCTTGTGTCACTTTTTTTTTTTTTTGGTGCTCTGAATTTCTTCAAGGAGAAATACTATCATTCAGGTTTCGCGGTATTTTCTGACTGTATTGCAGTAGCGTGCATGCTGCAGTAATGCACGTTACCCTTGTCATACCCAGATAGAGCTCTGGAAAATAGCCAGCATGCATCCAAGCAATCGCAGTCTTAGTTTCTTAATAACGTAAGTGTAACTTTGCACCTCTGAAATATTTCTGCAGTTTCTCTTAATACTGTAGTGCAGGATAAAGTTAAAATAAGACCTAGATTCAGTGTTAATAAAGCCAAATGTTATAATTGGCGAGGAAATGGATAACTTAGAGAAATAGGTAAGACATCTGAGGTGCCCCATTCACGTTGTTCTGACAAAGCAGCTGGCATCTTGCCAGGCAACTAAATTATTTTTAAATTATGGCTTTGAACCTCTTTGTTAACAAAATCGTAATTCCAATAAAGCAGAAACCTTGGAAGTGACTACTTTATTAGATACGTTTGCATAAGAATATTGGTTTAATTTAGAGTGGGGTTTGACATAGGGAAGCCAGAAAGAGATTTTTGCTGTGAATCTATTCTGGCCCCTTGTAAGACAGTGAATTATTCTTGCTGTAAACCTGCACCAGACCACCTGAACGCTTGGAGGCTGAGTCTGATAACTGCTTGTTCTGCGACAATTTTATTTTCTTCTATCTGATAATATCTTTGATTGTTAATTGCATCAGTCTCAAGTGAAAGCTGGGCTTTGCAGCCATAGAAGATTCTTTTTTATGAAAAATAAAACCCTAAGGTGAAAATCCCTAAGGTATTTGCGTTGGAGAAATCAATAGAGAAACGAAAACTTTGTTTTGAATTAAAGAAAAAAGGCAAACTGTCCATTTGAAATATGAGAATATGGAATTTATTTCCCCCATAGATTTATTTTCTTGCCATTAATGAGTATAAATGTACATTTAATTTCTAGAAAAGTAATGTAATCTACATGATGGAGGAACTGGAAGCAATGTTAGATAAGTACAGTTG